GGTCTGGACAGGCTCCAAGGGCAAGGTGTTCTTTGGGGAATAAGCTTTGATCCCAGCAGGATTCTTCAAAGAGTTCCTGAGATGACAGGAAACCCAGGGATTCCATAGATTGGCCTTTTGGGAAAAAGTTACTCAAAGCAGACAAAAATCCAGTGCTGCTGTCCAAGTGTTTACAGTTGATGGATAGGTGGTAGCTATAACCTGGCTCTCTGCCTCTTCAGTTTCCTGAGCTCCTGCAGGTAGAGGTGAGGCCAGCTGCCAAACTTGGCTATACATAGATATGGGCTCCCCTTCTGGGAGTCTCACCAAGCGTCCTTCATACCTACCAGATTTACGTACCATGGGGGAGCCTGAAGTAAGGCAGACTTTGACCTGACCTTGTATTACCCTCACATCCAAAGCAATGTCTACTACCTGCTTCTGGGCTCTGGGCCCCTACCCATGCATGCATAACTGTGCCAAGAGACATGTTGGGCTTGCAGCCCATTCCCATGGCCACAGACCCTGAGTCTTTGACTGACTTGATTGGACCACAGTGAGGCAATGGGAGAGACTGTTGGTTTGCTTCATTCAGTGCCAATGTTCTTTCTCCTTAGGACTCAGCCTCCTCCCAAGCTCCCTGTGGGCCCCAGCCATAAGCTCTCCAACAATTACTACTGTACTCGTGATGGCCGCCGGGAAGCTGTGCCCCCGTCAATCATCATGTCCTCACAGAAGGCACTGGTGTCAGGCAAGACAGCAGAAAGGTGAGGACCTTGAGCATCACTTGCCCAGAGACCTACAGTGGTCTCTCCTGCCTCTGGACCTTTCTTCCCTGCTGAAAGGTGCTTTTCTAGATTCTGTTTATCTGGCTGGGGGTGTAGCTTAGTGGTAAAGCACTTGGCTAACATACACAAGGCACTGGGTTCAATTCTCAGCATTGAACCCAGTGCCTTGTGTATKTTAATTGAATGAAGACTTGTGCTACTGACGGTTTTTCATTCCAGAGCTCATTTAATCCAGCCCCAACCCTTGATAGGGTTTAGTACCTCAGTTGGGGGTGCGTGTTTTCAGATGAAGTCTGATGTCCCTTCAAGGGTCCTAGGAAAAGCCTGGACACTTTACTGCTTTTATAATTTTTTTTTTTCTTTTTGGTGGTGGTACCAGGGATTGAATTCAGGGCCTCATGCATGCTAGGCAAGTGATCTACCACTGAACTATGCCTCCCAAGTCGTTGGCATTATAGGTGGTAAGCCACTGGACTGGCTCCATTTAGTCTGTCTGTCTTTCTCTCTCTCTTTCTTTCCAGTAATGGGATTGAACTGAGGACCTTGGCAATGCTTGGCAGTTGCTTTACCACTAAGCTCCTCCTCCAGCTCTTTTTATTTTTTACTTTGAGACAGGTCTCACTAAGTTGCCTGCACTGGCCTTGAACTTGTCATCCTTCCACCTTAGCCTCCTGAGTAGCTGGGATGACAGGTGTACATCACTGCACCTGACTAAACAGCATTTTGTTCAACTGCATTTTTTTTTTTTGAGAGAGAGAGAGAGAGAGAGAGAGAGAGAGAATTTTAATATTTATTTAGTTTTCGGCGGACACAACATCTCTGTTTTGTATGTGGTGCTAAGGATCGAACGCACACCAGGCGAGCGCGCTACCACTTAAGCCACATCCCCAGCCCTTGTTCAACTGCATATTAACTTTTAGCCACACCAGACTAAGAGATCCCTAAGCACAGGACCTTCTTTTACTAGCATTGTGCCCATGTGCAGAACCTTAAGGAAGACCAGTGGACACTGTCACCTGATTACTAGGTCCTTTTGCCAGCATCCTGTTTGGGGGCAGCAGGAATGGTTGGGTGCCTTGTCCACACCAGATGGCTTTAAGTGGGAAGGGAAGAACCCAGCTATTTCCTGCCCAGGAACCAGTGCAGGTTCACTGGCGTTTGCAGGGGGCTGGGGAAGCAAGGAAGTATACCCCCATTGTAGGGGGTTTGGGTCGTCTGAGACACCTGCCCTCTGTCTCCAGAACCAGAAAGTCCCAGCAGGTGTGTCTGTACCAGGTGTGGGTGTGTTCTCCTCTTAGATCCTTTTGTACTGTTCTCTGGAGACCTAGCCCTAACTGAAGTCTGTGTTCCTCTTCCAGCTCAGCCGTGGCAGCCACTGAGAAGAAAGCAGTGACGCCTGCTCCTCCCATGAAGAGGTGGGAGCTGTCCACAGATGAGCCTTACCTGTGACACTGCCCGCATGCTCATAGGCTACTTGGCCATGTCTCCAGGGCCATCTGAGTGCTTTTCCTCCCTGGATTCCCTCTGGGGATACTGTGACCTAATTTATGAAAAATACAAGGAATTCCATATCACTTCTATTTTTACTTTCTTCTTTTTTAAATAAGGGTCAGGGCCTTTCTCTGTTCCCCAGGCTGACCTTGAACTCCTGGTCTCACGTAATGTTCCTACCTCAGCTTTCCAAGTACCTGGGACAATAGGCATGTATCACCAAGCCTGGAATTTTTGCTTTTTAAGTGACCCCAGCATACTTGGATTTGGGGTAAAGTTGGTGCCAAGTTTAACTCATGTCAGTGCTTCAGAGGTGGGAAAGGAATGTTTCCTGGGCTTCCTGCATGCAGAGCTGATGATGTGGTGCAGGAGGCCTGACTCTGCTCCCCGGGTCATGGAAATAGGGAGTGGGGTGGTTCCTTCTAGGTGACTGGGTTCCAGTCCTCTGGGTATTTGGGGAGCAATGACTACCAAGGCCCATGGGAGGGAGTGGTACTTAGAAGATCAAACAGATGCTCATTTGAGAACTACCCCTATCATTGCTCATGGGGAAGGAAGTTTAGGCACCTCCCCATTGAGGCCCCCAGTTGGTCTTGGCCACCTGCAGCTCAGTGGGAAAAACAGAGGGCAGCAAGGGCAGCTCACAGAAGTCTCACCTGGAGTGGGTTCAGAAAAGCCTTCCTGAGCCTGAAGGAAGGTTGGGAAGGAAGGTTGCTGGTCCCTGTGGAGCAGTGAGCAGAAGAGAGAAGGCTGCAGGACGTGAACAGTGGCCTGGAGCAGGGGGAGTGTCAGGGCTGCCCCACCAAATGACCCTGTAACCTCCAGTAGGTGCAGAACATCTGGCTGTGTGCCAAGAGTGTCACACTGTTGGCTTCTGGAAGCTTAGAGCCAGGGGAGAAAGACCACAGTCCTAGGGCTCCTTCTCTGCTTATATGACTGGATCCCTGAAACCTCCCTCACCAAGACCCTGATCCTCAAAGGCAGGGGCACTCCCTTCCCTTTCTCCCTGGGCAGACCTATTTACCCTACTGACCTTTCCGTCTGTGATTGTATCTGAACAACATCAACTATTATTTCCTTTCCCCATGGTAATCAGGAAGACAAAAACTAAAACAAAACAAAAAACATTCCAAAAGAAGATATACAACCTCTAACATTTTCAAATTGGGAAGCATGCCATTAACCTGCAAATAAAACCTTTTCTAGCTGGTGTGGTGGCCCATCCCTGCAATCTCAAAATGAAAAATAAAAAGGGCTGGGTATGTAGCTCATTGGTGAAGCGCCCCTGGGTTCAATTCCTGGGCAAAACAAAGACCTTTCTGTGGAAATATGGGTGACTGCAGCCTCACAGGAGACTTAGGGCTGGGAGTGGCAAACACTTGCCCATGTGTCAGTATTGAGGGACAGTGATTTGTTTGGGGCCCTGCTGGGAGTTGGAGTCACTGCATCTTCTGAAGGCAGAACTGCAAATGACATTTTTCAAGACGAAAATATTGTAGTCAGATTAGACAGAAAGACGTGTGCTAGTGGGAAGAGAAAACCCAAAGGCTGCATAACTCTTTGATGAAGAGGAGGATGCCGGAATAAGGCACAGCTCCCTGGGTGTGTGAGAACTAAATAAGCCAATGAGRATGAGTTGATCGCATCCAGGTGAGATCGACAGAGGAACCATTTAATCGCCAAGTATCTATTAAGATACCCTGTGTCGGGCATTGAGATAACAGCAGTACACATAGCATTCCTGCCCTGGTGGAGGTGGCGTTCTAGTAGGGAATAGGACAATAAACCAAAATAAGTAAATAAAACATAAAATCTGTCGGTGGCACCAAAGAGGCAGTAGGAAGGAGGGGATGGGGAGGGCCTGAGGGGAGATGTTACCGTATTAAATAAGATCATCAGGCAATAACATTAGTGGCAGTGTGCATGAGGAACGCAAAGGAGTTTAAGTAGAAGCCGATAACATTTACAAAGCTTCGGAGCCGGCGCAGTGGCGCACGCCTGTTACGGGAGGCTGAGGCAGAAGGATCGAGATTTCAAAGCTAGCCTCAGCAATTTACCGAGGCCCTAAGCAATTCAGTGAGACCCTGTCTCTAAATAAATAAAATACTTTTACGAAAGGTCTGGGGTTGTGGCTCAGTGGTAAAGGGCACCTAGGTTCAATCCCTGGTCTCTCTCTCTCTCTCTCTCTCTCTCTCTCTCTCTCTCTCTCTCTCACACACACACACACACACACACACACACCA